AAATAAATAATGCAATAATATGAATCAAGACACATGAATAAAAAATATTTTAGAAACATTATGCAGCAGTCGTGGTCTTGCTGAACGCCGAGGGTACAGTATGCGATGCAAAATACACTTCCACTCCAACAATCGCCCACACACACACACATATACACACACAACACACACACATTAATTCGTTGCGACTGCCACCATGAAATTATGCCACATGAGCAGAAGTAATTCACTTCATTATTTCAAATATGCTCTAATAAACCTGCGTGATGTTTGCAGATTGTCTGCTACTACTGCTGCTGCTACTACTGCTACTACTACTACTACTGATGCTACTGCTACTACTTCTACTGTTACTGCTGAATAACGTTTAGATTGTTGGTTATGCACGCATGGACACATTCTATACATTCATACACGCTCGCAATTCTGTTAAATCTTTTTTATTTCGTATTTTTATTCACCCAGATTTCATTCATTTTATAAAAGTAATTTTTTAAAATTTGTATTTCATCAAATGGACGCAAAATTTGTGAATGTTTAACGTAAAGAAAATGTGAATACGAGAATCTGCTGCTGCTGTTGCTGTAAAGTTTGTCTGATAATTGGACCAACGCATAATCTTATTTAATCTTTTAATTACACATACGCCAGAAAGGACAAATTTGTGGCTCACTGACAAAAAAACTTGAATAACCGAATCAAAATTGATTGCGTAAATTGATTACATGTCTCTTTTTATGATGATAGTTATTGCAAATAATAGTTCAAATTTTGAAATACATACACAGCGGCTGTCACCACTCAAGTCGGTAGTGACGAACGACAGATGCAATAATAAATCCGCAACAAGAAAAAATCTTAAAACTGTAACGCAATAAGGTTTAGGCGGAACACAAACAACCAAACAACTACCACAGAAACAGCATAACAAACACAAACCAAACAACAACAAAAAACAATCAATATAACACAAACAACGAACAACACTTAGCTAAAACATAAATGTAATAATATAACAGTCAACCAACAAGGAAATTAATCAATGCTAATAGAGAAGCAAAGTAGCAAGAACGACGAGAGGATTCAGGCTAACGTGGACAAAATCAACTTGAGTGCTAATGGCAGCAGATCACACAAATCATTTGCAAAAGTACAAACACTTTTCAACAGCACGTGATCAAACAAAAACAGAAATAAAACAACAACAGAGCTAAATACAGAGCTAAATAATCAGAATGCAAACATTAGAGAAATCACCATTGATGGCAACACTTGTCAACGTTAAAACCGCAGCACGAAAATAATCAACCACAGTAAATAAAGGCATCTCAACTGGATTAACACAGAGACCACAAAACAACAACAAATGCAACAACAAGACAAGCAATAGAAATAAAGAATAAAAAAATACCTCTACATACAAAACAGACAACATAAATATCACATGCAACAGTACAGTTGACAACACAAACAACGGACAACACAGATAAGAGACAACAACACAGACAACAACACAAACAACAATACAGTCAACAAATAACACACATCGATTATCTTAATTATCGCGAGTAGAATTTGATATAAACTCACACCCACACACAAATAAATACAATACAAACACAAATAGACAAATATACACAAATACAAAACACACTCAGGCTTGCACGCACATTCACACATGTATACACGCACATACGCACGTTCACGCATATACGCTTTCTCACACGCACACATTTACACATACATATGCATATTCACACACATAAAAAAACGTGAACCTGTATGTACATTCATATTGAAAGCTATGCGCACAAACACGTACACGCAAGTGCACGCACAGACAGACAGACAGACCTATGTACAGTATTGGTGATGCAGACAAGCATAACGTTCAGCTCGCACACAATACACGCACGCACAACAAAACGAATGAGCACAACTCCTATTTTTATTAATATCACACACCTGAATACTCTTCCTTGCAACCTGACACAACAACAATAATTATTGTTGCTGTGCTGGTTACGATGCTTCAACGTCAACAACATTCACCATTTTATATATCTAGATATATACATATAGGTGTATTGTATACACATACATAGATTACAAACATTTACGTAAATGGATATATACATGTAAATATTGTGGTCGGAGATCCAAGATGGTTGAAAGTTTTTTATAAATTAACTTTTATGCCTCGTATAGTCTAATTAGGAAGATTTGAATGAATTTGTTTTTAAATGATGTTTTGTTGTTGAGTTGTGTTGTTGTTTGATTAAGGCAACTGATGTTGTTATGATGTTGTTGTTGGCGGATATAATGATATTTTGTTAGTGTTACCTCTGTCGTTGTTGTTCAGTTTTGTTGTTGTTGCTGTTGTTACGTCTCTGTGGTCTTTTTGGTCTGTTGCTTCAAATGTTGTTCAAAGCTGTTGTGTAGTTGGTAAAAATGATTTTGTGGTTATTTTATAGTGTTCAATCATATTATTTCGGTTGCCATTGTTTTGCAGTTGTTGTTTTAAAGTTTGAGTTCATGTTTTCGTTCGTGCTGATGCTATAATTAGCGTTAGCTTCGTTATTTGTTAATGCAGTCGTTGAGAAGAAAAATAAATTGACAGTGTACAAACTCTAATTCCCAGAGGCTTTTAACTTAATTAATTCCAATTACTTCCTGTTGTTCAGTCCAAACAAATGAATGCAACACAACAAAATTTTTTTTATAAAATTCTGAAAAAAAATTTCATAGTTTTACTCGCAAGTTCAAGCTGTTATCATTATTTTTATTGGAGCTTCTATTTTGCTAGAAGATAATATCAATTAATATTAGTTATAATTTTTTTTTACTTTTATATAGTTAGTTGTTAATAATTTTTTATTGTTATAAATATTCTAATTATTATTAATTACATTAAACTCGGAATTTTATTGTAATCATCTTAAGCAACTTCTAGTGACATCATCATCTTAGTATCATCAACATTCTACTATCATCTTCATCGTATCGTCAACCTCTTCGTTATCACATTGTCATATTATCATTATCATTATAGCATCAAATTTATCTCATCAATATCTCCCTTATCAAATCCTCATGACATCAAATTCATCACCCGATCCACCACCATCCTCAAATCGTCTTCATCATCGTCGTCGGCATTACTTTCTTTAAAAAAGGATTATCCCCATAGATTATTATTATTTACGCCATAAACCATGCCATCATTTCATTTGGAAGTTAAATAGTAAATATCATTCAATATATAATAATTTGTTATAACCGCTAGAATGATGGAATTACGCTATATAATTAATCACTTTTATCTTGTTATATTTGTTGTCTTCGCTATTTGTTATCGATTGTGTACCATAGAATCTTTTCATACCGTAGAGGATTGTAAAATCTTCTGTAGAGGCTTTATACGGGGCAGGGGTAGGAAAGTTAGCAGCGAAGTTTGAAGCAAAGTAGTAAATGTGATTTATATAGTTAGTTACTTGGATTAGTATAGTGTTTCCATTACTGTTGGCATTCAAATAAACGGATAAATTTGATAATTGGAAATATAACGATCATTGAAGTTATAACATTGGTGTTGGCAGTTACGAGCGTTAAAGATTACAACAATATTTTAATAAGATTAAGTGAAGCAATAAAATAATGGTAAAGAGTTTTTTCATTTTTGGGATTATTTGTTAAAAAAAGATTAATGAACAAACAAACAAATGTATGAATGAAAGAACGACTCAATGATTTAGTGAATGAAAGTGAAAGAAAAGATAGATTGACAGATATTTGAAAGAATCGATAGATAGATTGATAAATGGATGAGTGAGTGAGTGAGTGAGTGAGTGAGTGAGTGAGTGAGTGAGTGAGTGAGTGAGTGAGTGAGTGAGTGAGTGAGTGAGTGAGTGAGTGAGTGAGTGAGTGAGTGAGTGAATAATCCATTTCGACTTCGTTATGAAAAATCATCGATCAAGTCTCTTTTATGAAAAGGAATGCCCCTTTCAAACTCTTTCAATTCTCGCAAAATGAAAATTTTTTCTCCTTCTTCTTCTCCACATAACCACGCCAAAATCAATTATCCAGACATCACTGCTCATTTGTGAGGGCTTAATATTAGTTGAAATGATCAACTGACCCGTTATAAAATTTAATTTGAAAGTGAAAACAAACGTAAAAATATTCACATCAACTAGAACGAAAGTTTCTTTTAACATAAAGTTTTTGATTGATACCTTGGTAAAAAAACCTACAGTAAAGTACCGAATAGTACTGTGAGTTGTAGTACGCTACACTGTTGTACATTAGAGTACATGTACAATAATACATATGTTGACGTTTCTATACATAGACTGCCTGTGGACAAGTCATTTTGAAGATCCAAACAGCAGCAGTCACAATATCAATAATCAATCTCCTCTCAATGGCTACACACTTCTTTCTTTTCAATGCATTACATGAAATACACATTAGTCCTACTTGCTTGTAAAACCACGTGCACACATTCATACACACGCTCTCCGCCTGCATGCTTCAATAAACAGCTTACCTTTTCTGTTTGTATTATTTTTTTTATGGAGCTAGAATTTTTTATTGTAATTATGATGAAAGAACATTTCATTTGATTGACTGGTTAAAAAATATGCTCATATATTTTATTCATACCTGTTGATATATTTTATACAAACATGTTGATATATTTTATACAAACATGTTGATATATTTTATACAAACATGTTGATATATTTTATACAAACATGTTGATATATTTTATACAAACATGTTGATATATTTTATACAAACATGTTGATATATTTTATACAAACATGTTGATATATTTTATACAAAAATGTTGATATATTTTATACAAAAGATGTTGATATACTTTATACGAAACATCGAAAGTAGCGGAAGACATTTCTTTTTTTATTTCCCATTTAGGTTCAAACATTCCAAAGTAACATCAAAAACTCAACAAAGAATAGAAATGCATGAAAAAGATGTCTACCTGCGTAAAAAGTAAAACTAAAAAAGTTGAAAAAGTTGTTGCATGAAACAGTTTCCATCCAGAGGTTGTTGATGAGGTTGGTGTGACAAACATCAACCAACCAGCTTGCAACTTATCTGCTGTGTTGGCACATTGTCCGTGCGATCAATGCCAATACAAGACCCACCAGTTCTCCAGCAACTTCGTCAACAGAACCAACATTGCAGCAGTAAATGTTCCAACCAGCCAGCCAACCCATCCTCATCAGTTTCATCATCTTCGTCGTCCTCACCTTCCACACTCGCCTCCACACGCTGGTTTCAACCGGTGTCCATTCCAGCTGACCTCACCAACAACAACACAGGTTCGTGGTATCTTATCTTGGACGTTCTCATTTTCAGTTATTTAGTTTTGCTTTTAATTAATGGAAATACAAATATTCGACTTCAGGATAAAAATTTTAATGATTTTATTATTCTTCTTTTCATGGCAACAAAATTGAATTGGTTTTATTATAGCATCACTTTTCGTAGCTTTTTAAATACTTCAGTTTTAAATTTTCTAATAGACCTGTTTCAAATTCACAAATAGCCCAAATGGCAAATTATAAGTTTTTCAATTAAAATAAGTTGAACCAGTTATGAATTATAAGTTTGATACATGATCCAAATAACTTTTACAATTTTTGTTTATCTGTAATTGCAAACGTTTCGGCCAACAGAAATATCATTAAAATAACTTCAGGCACTCTATCATCTGGCGTTTGTCATACGTTTAAAACCTCATCAACAACATCGTTGACATCAGCAGCAACAACAACAGAACAAAAATTTCTAAATGCAACAACAGCAACTTCAAAACCTGCCTCCACTCGAATCGTAACGCAAAGTACATGCTCCCCATTGTCTGCAAAACAATCACGATCCTTTGACGATACGACAAACACAACAACAACAACAACAAAATCGCAACATCATATTGTTCATCAACAACGACGACAACAACAACCTCCGACACTACAACAACAACAACAAACTTTTCAGCTGAAAGACAATCAATTACAAGAACAGTTTATGCGTCGGAGCGTGGACGACAATTCTAATCTCCAATTTATGTCCAATAACAACAGCAGCTCGACCGCAGACTGCAATCCAATTTTCACGACTGCAACAACAAACGCAACCACATCATCCTCTGCACGGCCACCCAAACAAAACAACTCCAGAAACAGCGCAAAAAAAGATAATGGCGATCAGGCTAAAGCTCAATCTTTCAAAGAAATAACAACAAAATGGCCCCACTTAATAAGATCGCCAATAAACATCAAGAAGAACAAAATGCATGAACGCCTATCCTTAAAGAGCGACACAAGCAACTACAAATGCAACAACAACAACGTGAGTGTTAAACAACAAAACAATTATAATGCTTTCATAACGACATCAACTACAACTGTCAGCGACAAAACTAACGCTTCAAACTACACAGACGACATCAACAGCAAATTCAAAATGTTCAAAAAGTCTAAAAACGATTCTTGGTTTTCCGACGAAAAACCGTCAGAAGCTCAGTTGGATCATTACCACGTGCTCACCAACAGGTCTGCCAACGTGGCTGATCTGCAAAGCAAATGTCCTGAAGCCACTCGGAGTTTTGAGGAAAATAAAAATACTCTCCTGAAAAGAATGAACAAGTTGGAGATTTCGAAATCTGTTGATGTCAACTTGTTGCGTGACATTGAGGTGGAAACATCCGGAAAGGAGAGGCTGACAATTCCCTCTCCACGACTAACTCAACAGCTCGCACAGGTTCACTGGCATCAGCAACATCACAGTAGCAACAACGATAATGATAATAAATTATTTGCTCAACAAAATCAAAACGATTCCCACTCTATATTGCAACATCTACAACGAGCGCAACAACCACAACAAAAATCTCCATTACTACAACGGCAACATTCGTTATTTGTTCAACAACCAGATTCAACAACTTCGTCATCAGCAACAGCAGCACAAATGGCTTCATCGCACTCACCACATGATCTGCACAACTGTGATGTCTGGGATACAAATAATTCGACATTTTGCGATAAAAAAACGGCTATCTTACAACATTTTACAAACCCGTATCATCCACAGCAACAGCAGCAGCAACAACAGCAGCAACAGCAGCAGCTGCAACAGCAGCAGCTGCTGCCACAAAAAGCGCTTTTGCCATCCGTTTTAACACCACAGTATTTGTTTCATCAACAGATTCAACAACTCAAGCAGAAGCAGCAACATCACAGTACATCAACAACAGCAGCGTCTCAGCAGCATCAACAATTATTTCAAAAGCCACTGCAAAACCAGCCTCAACAAAATCAAAACATATCACAATATAGACAGCCACAACAACAGCAACTAAATCAACAACATCAACAACAACAACAACATTATCAGAGCCACAAACATTTCATGTACACAACTCAATGGAGACTTCCTTCATGCGATCAACTTCCACCCACCGTCAACGAAGAATCCTTATTAGCGGATGTTGATGAACGGCATGCGGCGGATATTCCCGAGGCACATCCCTCTACATCAATTTCTTCTTCCCCTCCTCTTCCTCCTTCTCTTCCTCTTCTTCCAAATCATCCTACTCAAGTTGTTGACACGCCATCGACCGACTTGGCATCATCTCCACTTGATTTCAACTGCTCTTCCTGTATGATGGAAAAAATAACAGCCGATCTGGCTAGGTTTGTTTATTGTGATTTCTACTGTTTCTTCTGGTGTCGCCTGTGTTTATATGTGGGTGTGTGTGTGTTCGTGCTTGTGTTGTGTGTTTTTGGATGTGTGTGTCTATGTGTGTGTGTGTGTTTGAGTGTGTGTGATGTGGGTGTGTTTGTATTTGAGTGTCGGTTGCTTATGTATGTGTTTGATCTGTTTAAAAGTTAACGACAAGAAATTCATTTTTTTTAAATCATAAAGACAAATAACGTAACAGAAACTTCTATTATATTTTATTCCTTCATTCATTCCATTCCATAATTTGATGAATTCTTTTTTATTCATTCATTCATTCATTTCATCAACTAATTTTTACATTTTGTTGATTCATTTTATCAATTCATTTCTTTATTCTATTCATTCTTTTAATCTCTCAATTCATTCTCTCAATTCATTCATTCCATCAATTAATTCCTGTATTTTTTCATTCTACTTACCATTTTTATCAATCCATTTTTTCAATTTCATTTCAATCACTCCATTAAGACACCCAACATTCACTTCATTTTTTATTTCATCAATTTATTCTTTCATTTCAATCTTTCATTCCTTCACTCCATTTGAATTGTTCCTGGACAGCAATGTAGGGTTGGAGGAGGAGCAGCAGAAGTTATTTCTGGTTGTCATTAAACCTCTCTCTCTCTCTCTCTCTCTTTCCCTCTCTCTCTCTCTCTCTCTTTCTCCTCTCTCTCTTTCTCACAAACACACACACAAACAAACACATAAACAAACGCATACACTGTAGTTTTTCATGGTAATATTATTACACATCCAAACAAACAAAGAAACACGAGAGTTGTTAGTGTATAAGCCCGCACATACAAAGCACACATATTTTCATATACACACATACAAACACACACACATACACGCACAACACACACATATACACACACACATATATATTTTAAAACTTTGTTTCAAATGAATGAAAAAGTAAAGTCAACTTGTTTCGCGAGAATGTTCTTTAATGTCATCAGCATCAAAAAGCTTCAACAGTTAGTTAGAATCATGAAATATGCATAGAGCTGCAGAGTATGTTTGTTTGTACGCTTGTGTATGTAAGTGAGTTTATGTATGTGTGTTTGTGTGTGAATGTGTGTGCGTGTGCGTGTGTGTGTGTGTGTGTGTGGATATGCTGAAAACAAGAAAGGATTATTAAGAAGAAACATTAAATTGTGTGTAGTGCTGGTTGCTTCATCAATTTCTGTCTCTCTCTTCTACATACATGAACGCGAGCTCACACGTGCACGCACACACACACACACACACACACACACATGAGCGTTTATGTAGAAATGTATGATACACAGGTTTACACATGCATGCATGCAAACTAATTATTGCATAATATATTTGTGGATGTGCATGTCTGTATATATGAGTGTGAAAATATGTGGGTATATATACGTGTCTCTGGGTACGTATCTTATTTTATATGGCTGTGTGTGTGTGTGTGTGTGTGTATGCTTGTGCGTGTACATGTTAGCATGGTGTTTCATCTGCGGTTGGGAAATGCTCATGACAGAAGAAGAGTACGTATCTTCGTTGATGTAAATTTTTCCATCTACTTGCATATGACCATTCAATGCATTAGGAAGTGGGAATATTTTTAACTTAGAAATTTTTTGAGACGGTTTGTAAATATTTGTTGGAATAAACTTCTGCTTATAGTTAGTACGTTCTTATTGTTGGTTTTTATTTGAGCTTGAAGTAAACTCATGCCATAGTTGCTGGCATCACATATTTTTCGGTAGCAGTTTCTAAAAATCTTAAATTTAGTTTAATAACGGTTTAAAATAGAGCTTCCTGACTACAACTTATAACAGCTTGTTAATGCAACTTATGACAGTTTGATGTAACGGAAAAGATGTAAGATCAGTTTAGTGTGATGTTGTAATAACGGGAACTAATTTAAATTTATGGAAACATGGCCTCCCTGATTGATAGGTTGTCGTTCATTTATTCACGAGGTACCCACGCCAAGCAGGTGTCAATTAAGTTGAAAGCTTCCTTCAAAATGCGACACAAATTTTTTTTCAAGTTTTCATCTACCTTCCCTTTTTAGGCAGTGTTTTTCCGGTATGTTTTTCACTTGAAGACCTTTTTAAAATATTTTAGTGCGTTTAAATAGAGCAATTTAATTTTGTACGGCTAACCTGTTTGCTCACTTTAACATTTTTTGTGACGTAAATGTGGATTCACTTTTTCCAATCAAGCAGGTTTTATAAAGACAGTGTTAGAAAATAAATTATAAACTTAGGAAATGCTAGTTCAAATAATTTAGTTGATGATATAATCAAATCGTGGCATAATTTCACCGTCACATCATAGTAATATCACATCAACACACCACACTATCTCCAGCTCACATCACAATTACATCATAATCCCATGATCGAGTCATTATCATCATACCAATCTATTTCATCATCGTCAACACACAAACAATGTTGCTATGCCAACTTAACATCAAGTGTAAAAGGAGTAAAATTTACAAATAACAAAAAAAACTTCCAGCTAACGACCCAAACACGTGGCAAGAGCGGAGTGATCTGATTTTATTTTTTTTCCTCTAAGGTCCTGTCCGTCATTAATCAACTCATTCTTGTGCAAATACTGACCACTGACCAACCAGCTACTGACCGAAGACACAATGATGTCATATCGTGTGTTCGTCGACATTTTTAACTCCATCATTTATTCAAATATTCCTCAAAAAACGGGGCAACCAAGGAGAAAAAATCTGCCGAACTATAAAAATGCAAACGCGTCATTTGTTATTTTGATTGTCTTGATTTTTATTACGAAAAGAGCTAACAAAATAATAGAAATGAAGAAGTTAAAGAAAATATTTTATGAGCATTGCATCGTAAATTCATTCAAGCGAACGACATTGTGTGTTCCAGGGCATAAAGAAATTATTGCAAAGATATAAAAACATTTTATTTATTCATTCTGTTATTTATTTACATTTCGATATTTATTTAGGAGAAAATAGTTTTACGAAATTAAATTATCAACCGAATTTGGAACATTGAGCATAAAATGACTTATTTTCCTTCGTGTGTCCCTATGAAGTAACAAGTTTATCAAGCGAGCATTTCGTGATCGGGAGTGAATGTATATTGTTTCATCGCTTGCTCGTCATCTACAACAATAAATTATATTTATAATAGACTATTGTTTTACTGCAATTTGTCGGGATATTCATATTATCTTACCATTGTTATTTTGTTGTTGTTAATGTTATTTTGTCGCTCTTTGTATCTATAATGATAACATCATTTTTATTTATCACTCTTCATTCTTACAAATATTTTTTTTATTGCTGCTGTTACGCGCCACACGCCAACAATTTGTACATAATAAATGCACGCCAAAGCAACGAGCTTCAACAATGAATTATTAAACACATGCACTACACACATACAAAAATTATAAATATATGTATACACACATACACACACACACACACACACACACACACACACACACACACATACATGTATATGTATAGTATATATATATACATGTATATATATATACTATACATATACATGTATATATATATATATATATATATATATATATATATATATAAGTTCAAATCTGATGTCATATCTCTAATTTTCAATACAATTAGGCAAGAAATATGAGAGGATCGCCGTTTACTTCGTCCTAAATTAATAAAATTACATTTATAAACTATTCAAGTAAATTTATATTTATATTTTTGCTACTTATTTAAAAAAAATATTTTGAATTAGTCGAAGAAAACCGGCACCGGAAGAAATTTGTTGGCTATAGAAGCCATCTAGCGAAGTGTTTAATTTACGATCCGCTTCCGTCTTTTCTGCGGAGTTGTTTCTTTTTGTGTTTGTGTCCGTGAAAAGATTAAGATAAAATCTGCAACACCATATTTTTATTTCATTTGTACATATTCTTTCTCCATTTATTTTTTGCTTTATTTATTGATGCTTCCATTGTTCATTTGTTTATTTTTCCTTGTTTATACATCCGGTTGGCACATTCATTTTAATCGTGTTCATGATTTATTCTTTCAATTTAAAAAAAACACATTTATCCGCAGCTCTTTTAAACAAAATTGGTGCCGGTAACGATATTTTCTGGCAATTTATGCCAAGTCCGTTACAAAATGTAGTGGCGATATCAGATTTCACTACCAATTAATAAAAACGAGCGCTCACGTGATTATAATATAATGACGTCACTTTGACGTGGCCAGGAGCTGATAAGATGTAATGGATCTACTGAGGCAGTAATGTTTTGAGTGTCATGATGCATTACCACACTAATGTGTTGATGCCATTAATATTAAGTAGGTACCGATGGAATGACGTTGCCGACATGAAACCATCAAATCGCTGCTATGGAAAAGTTGTCGCAATAAGTTAATGTAATGACATGATTTTGTTTCCATAATTCCGTATCAACTCAGATGATACTAATAAATTGAATACTAAAAACGCTGATGTGTGTTTTGATGGAAGGAGTTTGAGGTCAGACGTTTGATTTTGTCCGCTGAAAAATGTAATCTTGTTTTGCGACGCAACTTAATTTGCGCCTTTTTGCTGGATTTTAATTAGTTTCAAAACGAAGAACACCGACACAGAAAAGAGAAAAAAAAAGTGAATTGAAATTTTAAAAATTTGTTATAAAAACATCTAAAAACAAAAACAAAACCTTTAAAAATTTTTAATTAACTTCAGCAAAATAATAAACAAGGTTTCTAATCAAAGTGACGTAAACCAGTCAGACACTGCTGTTCACTGACTGCTGGGATGATGCGTCGTCATCAGATGTGCAGAAGTTGTTTGCTGCCTACATGCCTGCTGGCTTGCCACAAGAAACCTCTTTCGCATTTTTATTTAATTTTTGTTCTACTTTGGTTGAAATTATTTCTGTTATGTTAAATTTTTTAATGTGATGTCAAACATTTTTTGAAAGCCAACAGTCATCAATTTTTAAAAAGTAAAATCTCTAGTTTATCCAATTTTCTGCAGTTAAAAATATTTATAATTTTTATTTTCAAACATATAAAAAGTTTTGTTAATTCCCTGACATAGTAACATTTATATCGTTTCGTTTTAACATTTCTTATTCAATTCGAATGAACGACAGTCTTAAAATGTTTTTAAGTTGATTTATCTAAGGGACTCATTGGAAAAAATGGTTGCCTGTCAAATTGCATTTACGCGTAATTGTAAAAACTTAATCAATATCATTGCGTACAAGTAAACGTATCTATTATGCATACTCTGCATTCCTACTGACGCAAACTTATATTCCACACACACACGCACACACAGACGCACGCACACACACACACGCACACACACGGGCGTACATACAGAGCAGCGTTAGATTTTATTTTATGCATTGTCTGTCGCCATGCAAATTTGATTTCCGCTGTTTGTTCATGACACGATGCCAAGCCAGTGTTAATGTTATACACCAGTCTCGCTTGCTTCCCCGTTCATATATGACTGCCCTATCCTTGCATATTCTATGGAGGTGTTTGTTGTTGTTGCGCGGTCATGTATACGTTTCGATTTATGTAAATTCGTGCTATGACGGGTTTACAGATGTTATTTTAGAGGGACCAACATGCTGACGACCTTCTGCAATAACGCCGGTCTCACGAAATAGTAACATTTCAGAATGTAATATTTTTAAGTTTGCACGACTCGAAATACAAAACGAAACATTTGTAAAAGATCAATGCAAGGCATGCTTTAATATAATATAACGTATGTTGTAATGTACTGTGATGTAATGTATTAAAATTTAATATCTGCAGTATAATTCACTGCAGCGTTTTGATAACTGATAACAGCGAATCAAACGTCTCACAATCTGGTTAGCGATCTCTACTGCGGGCCTACCAAATAAAATTAAAAAATTTAATATCCGCTGACGTTATTCGTATTTTAAGAGAACTTCATTAAATGTTTTTTAATAATGGATAAGTTAAGGTTTCAATTTTTAAGTTATTTGCAACTTTCGGCGCATGTACGTGTTCTTTCGTTGAATCTGGCAGGTAGTTTTTTGTCTTCATCTTCCTCTTCCTCCATTGTTCGTCCTTACGTGTCTTGCCGTCTGGAAAGATTATAATTAACAACTGTTTCTAGAACATTTTTGCATATTTTGAAACTGTTTTTTTATGTAATTATGTATATTTAACAAAATATGTCTAATCATCAACGAAGATTTTGTGATAAAAAGAATCAGGGTTATATCTTCCAACTATATATGTAGAGAATCAATAGAATTAGCTGCTGGAACATCCCTGTCGAATTATTGAAATATTGAAAATAAATTGATGTCACTATTTTTTACAATTTCTACAAAAAATCTACGGTAAAGAATACGGTAAAATAACCTTTTAAATCGGCGTTGTATTTTAAGTATTATAGTTCAATTCCTAACTAAAATTTCATGCAATTGTTGTTATTTAAGACGAAATGCGACCATGAATATATATATATATACATATATATATATATATATATCCATGAATGCGACTCAATTTTCGCTTTTAAAATTTTCGAATTACATATTAAATTATATAGCGCCGATTCAAACCGTCGTA